AGATATAACTGAAAAATTATAAACGATACCAATGGATCAGAAATGTTTATCGACGAAATAAAAAGCTGCATCAATAAGTTATCTAATCTGAAATCAACCTTTTCTTATATGTATGCACCTTGCGAAAAGAAATCTAACAAAATTCCAAACAATCTTCATATCCACTCTATGCCACATGTATCTGAAAACAAGTTATGAGAACAGTACTGAATTTTCGTTCTTGAATTTTTTACATTTTAATGCTACGACATTAAGTGAAGTGAGAATATACCATCAGCTAAAAATTGATCTCTCAATTATCGGATTCGATAAAAAATCGTGGATGCGATCTTTTGTTGATAAAAGGAGATAAGTCGAAGTATAGCAAAGTTCAGCGTGACGGAAAATGCGATACAGATAATTACGATTAAGATGATTATGAACGTTCGATGCTGTCATAGTCGTATAACATTTATGATAAGTAATAAAACTACGCACACCCTTGTATGAACATCCGTAATTCAAATGTTTCATACTGAACTATATAAAATATAAATCAAGATAATAATTTATTATGTGTTTCTAAAAGACTGTTGCTTCGAAACTTCTCTCCTCATTTTAATTGACACGCGAGTGTCGCCGATGGGGTACCAGTGCATCGAACGCGGTGGCGACGCGTTTTTACGAGGAGGAACGCGTTAGAATCGGTGCAGCGAGCCAATAAATAACCCAACTATGCTGAATGCGCCTCGGAAACGCAGACTGCATTAAACTACGCACACGCACATGCATGCATTTCGCGCGATTAACCATGCGCGCCCATTTGAATGCATGTACTCGCACACACACGTCTACCAATACTTTGACCCACGCTACGTGTTTTATTAAAATCACAGACGGCGCATATCGCAGGGAACGGGCTGTCGCATCGCGACGCGTCGACCGGAATTAAGTTTGCATGTATGCGTGCCAGGGAGCCCGGCAACAAAACGGTAAACGCTGTTCCTTTTCCGAAACGATTGATTAAATATAACCATCGTCCTTCGTTTGAATTTGATAAAAGAACCAGTCGAAGAAGAAAAGAAATTTTATATACTTGAGGCAAGAGAGAGGTAAATGCCCAATTTCTACTCCCATAAATTCAAAGTAGAAATTGTGAAATTTAATTGAAACAAACTCAGATTAGACAAATTCTTTTGATCCGAAGAATATTTTTTTCATCTATTATGGAATTTAATTGAGAATTTGCACGTAGCAATATTTTTAAATACAAGTGCAGTGTTCTTTGTACTTTAATTCATTTTATAAGATCTGGGGGCTCGAGACTTATTTGTAGAGATAACGCGAAATCGATATTCATCGTTTATCTATGCAAGATCAGCACACCTGAAAATTATGTTTTTTCGTTAATCAAATAACATCAGCGATTTCACGTTCCTAGACCCGTTCCCGTTGTACGCGTTCATAGACCCAGAGAATCGTCAATCACAACCGGTTAGTCCAATTCGCTAATGCGCAACATTAATTGTCTAGTTAAAGTAGTTACTCGAATTAATAGATCCTAGCCATGTTAAACACTACGTAAGTAGTCCTTCGTTCAAAGGTGTTTAGAAGGGAACTGTTCAGATTGTTTTACATTAAAGGGATTGGAACTGACAGTTTGATAATCCAATACAACGAACATGCTTTGAATTATTTAACTTTTCGGAGATAACCGATTCGTCACTTTGCTGATTCATTTTTACAGACAATTTTTATGAACTTTGTACTCGAGGAACGTGACTCCGTAAACATTCGAGTTATTCAGATTCTTTTTTCGATATTTCCTATTTACCGGTTTAATACAATTTTCCATATTTATAATGGAGACGGAGTACCTGAATTTTCCTCCCATTCCACTCGCTATCTGGCGATAGTGTTAGCGAAATGACAACAGAATCGGCGTACGCGATAATCCGTTCGACACTTATCCCAGTCGATCAGAGATTGTGCTTGTGTTGATTCACGTACACGCTGGCATGACGACAAGTAGCCCCTGATGATCTTATAAAAGGAACGTCCGCCGCGGTGACTGGCTACTCGTTGCTAGAGTTCAACCCTGTGCGTACGTTCCTCTGAATCGAACCGTGAGATCACAGTCAAGATGGTGCAGATCGTCGGCAAATACCAATACGTTTCGCACGAGAACTTCGATGAGTTCATGAAGGCCCTCGGACAAGGAGAGCTAGCGTCTGTGTTCCTGCAATCGAAACCCTTGATCGAGGTGCAAAACAACGGCGACCAATGGTCCCTCACCGTCAACTCCGACGGAAGGACCAGCTCCGCGACCTTCAAACTCGGCGAGCCCTACGAAGAGAAGCTACCCTCCTCCCCGGATCGTAAATTCCAGGTTCATACGATTCCTTATTTTTATTAATAAGATAACGTGACTCCGAACTCCGAAATTGTAAAACAGTTAGGAAGTGATCGTCATAATAAAATAATTGACACTCGAGGCTGACGAGTTCTTTTTGGAACTTTGATATTATACTGTTGTACTTTGAATATTATCTAATCTGAACATAAGAAGTTACAAGGATTCGAATCTTTTACTTTTTACGATAAGAATAATGTAGATTAAACAGAATTGTAGAATATATGTTTATCTTATATCGATTGTAATTTCGATAAAAGAAATCTACTTCTGATATTCATTATAGACTTGTGATAGAATATCTGGACGATTGTCTAAGAGACTATTTCAAATTGCAAGTTGACACGATCAAATAGTCCATGTAAAAAATTAAATTAATTGAGACGAATATCTAGAATTTAAATTCTCGTAATTTACAGAGCGTCACGACGAAGGATGGTGACTCTTTCAGAACGGAGACGCAAGTAACCGACAATCTGAAGATCATTCGGGTTTACGAGTTCACCGACACCGAGATGAAAGCTGTGAGCACCTTTACACGTTTCTCTTGAACGTTATCGTTAAACGAATCGTTAAATGCAATTCGATCAAGAAACATTTGGTCTGCAAAATTTTTTATTATTAAATAGAAACGTAACGTTGAATTGGAAATCGGTCAACATCCATCACTAACTAACAAGACAAGCATTTAAATTACCATCAACCAGAGGCTTAGTATTCCACCTTTTGAAATCTTATAAACATGCAATATTCAGAACTCTTGTTAATATCACGTTACAAATTATACAAGATCTATAAAGGAACGATATTAAATATTTAATGGCTACTGTTAGATGTTTAAAACTAATTCTAATGTTATGTCAATTTTTACTTTTCAGCATCTGTCTACCAACAAGGGCGACCTCAAGGCAGTACGTACATACAAGAGGCTGTAAACAAAATTTTTTTAGACTTTTTAACAAATAATATCATTGTTTTATATTAATTAAAAATTGAAAACTTTTTTCACTTCGTATACATTTCTTTACCTCCCATCGTAGTTTAACAATTCTAAAGATGCTACGAATTATTCGGAAGATGTTCAATGAAAATGAAATGAATAGGTATTTAGTATGTAGACTTCAGCTCAACTTTCATATAATCGAAAAGTGCGCTTTACTTTGTAATACTATAACGAGTGTACAAGGAAAATGTTTCCTCTGGAAAAATTTCACGATTATTGCTGCATTATTATATTCTGTTTAAAACGATACAGATTATCCTCGCGCTATTGATTCAGCAAAAACTCTGAAGAACGACGAATTCTTATACGTACGTGTATTACAAAAAGAATCTCTAAGTACCTGCTTATAGACAAGAGATAGACAGGAATAAAAGAGGAACAAGAATAGAAAGAAATTAGTTTCTCTTATGTAGCAACATTTTTTTGGCAGTTAAGAACTTCGTGTTATTCTGTTATAAACTTTTCAAAATTTTCATCGCTTCATTTTATTGGTTTAACGATAGTAAAACTTGAATTACGTGTGTTTAGTATGTAATTAGTCAAATTCTTAAAACGAAATGTTCTTAACAAATATATCATGATCAATCTAAATACCGAACCGCAAATAATAATAGAAAAAGAAAGAAACAATTATTATTTACGAAAATTAATTTGTCTTCTCTCGTACTCGGTAGTTTCGGATTGAATGACTTCTGCGCTAAAAATCTTTAAGCGATTTCGAATCAAAATTAATTACTTTTACTAATCTGAATCTAGCGAGTAGAGCTTTGAAGAAACGAGGCAAGTGTCTCTCTTCAAATAATGATTATTGTATCGGTTTCAATTTTTTTTTTTCTCTACGAGAACTCCAACTTCTCTTTTCGTTGTTCACGCGTGTCTCTTTCCACAGTATGTAATCGATAGTCATCATTTTGCTCGCGTGTTATTTTACGTATATAAATCCTCCCATCGTATTCTATATCTGTTCGAATTTATTTAATATAATAATGTATCACATTAACTCATAAAAGTGCTGTACATACATGGATAGAGAATACATAAGAATGACATTAATTAATGACGAGGCATTATAATATTCTCTCGCAGTATACTCAACTTCGGAATAGGAACAAACAAAAAAGAAATAAATATATGGTACCTGTGTTGTTCGCGTTTCGTGTTCTCTCACGTGTGTAATGCGTCCGTATGTATTTGTATACGTACGCGTGTGTTCTGTGTATGCGTGTTCGGATATATGAATATTTTAAGTGTGTAAGTTCTATCTTCATAAAAAGTACGACGATAAATCATTCATTATCAAGTATAATGCACATATAAAATTAAAAAATATAAAAAGACTGTCCAGCTTCGTGTTCGTTTTTTTCTTTACGATTAAGATTATGTTTAAGAAACCGACTCGCACGGCCGAGGCGTGTCACAACTAAACGCTTCTTCCTCTTTCGGATCCCGATTTAATTTCAGTAGATATTTGTTTGATGACTTCTCAGTTGGACCAGCGTATCGAATGTTAAATGTTTTACAGGCCAGTTGCAGCACCACTTACGATAAAACGTATCCGAGGCCGCGTAAGAAACGCGTCCACTTATTTACATATTCAATCGATATTCATATTCTTTGCTCTTTCAATTCCCTTTCGTCCGCCACCATCAATCCACTTCGGTCTTCTTCGCATCTAATTCCTTCTCTTTTAATTTATTATTACATATTTGCGTCCGACGAGACACCACATAACCAGCACGATTCGAAGCAGTCAAAAGCGATAATATTGTTTTATTTTTTCATTTTCATTTTTTAAAGGGTATGTACGTTCTCTCATACACACATACAATCTCTTATTCTCTTTCACTCTGTTTCGTTCACTCAAGCAAACGCACATTCTCTCTATCTCTCTCTCTCTCTCTATTTTTTTTTTCTCTACGAGAACTCCAACTTCTCTTTTCGTTGTTCACGCGTGTCTCTTTCCACAGTATGTAATCGATAGTCATCATTTTGCTCGCGTGTTATTTTACGTATATAAATCCTCCCATCGTATTCTATATCTGTTCGAATTTATTTAATATAATAATGTATCACATTAACTCATAAAAGTGCTGTACATACATGGATAGAGAATACATAAGAATGACATTAATTAATGACGAGGCATTATAATATTCTCTCGCAGTATACTCAACTTCGGAATAGGAACAAACAAAAAAGAAATAAATATATGGTACCTGTGTTGTTCGCGTTTCGTGTTCTCTCACGTGTGTAATGCGTCCGTATGTATTTGTATACGTACGCGTGTGTTCTGTGTATGCGTGTTCGGATATATGAATATTTTAAGTGTGTAAGTTCTATCTTCATAAAAAGTACGACGATAAATCATTCATTATCAAGTATAATGCACATATAAAATTAAAAAATATAAAAAGACTGTCCAGCTTCGTGTTCGTTTTTTTCTTTACGATTAAGATTATGTTTAAGAAACCGACTCGCACGGCCGAGGCGTGTCACAACTAAACGCTTCTTCCTCTTTCGGATCCCGATTTAATTTCAGTAGATATTTGTTTGATGACTTCTCAGTTGGACCAGCGTATCGAATGTTAAATGTTTTACAGGCCAGTTGCAGCACCACTTACGATAAAACGTATCCGAGGCCGCGTAAGAAACGCGTCCACTTATTTACATATTCAATCGATATTCATATTCTTTGCTCTTTCAATTCCCTTTCGTCCGCCACCATCAATCCACTTCGGTCTTCTTCGCATCTAATTCCTTCTCTTTTAATTTATTATTACATATTTGCGTCCGACGAGACACCACATAACCAGCACGATTCGAAGCAGTCAAAAGCGATAATATTGTTTTATTTTTTCATTTTCATTTTTTAAAGGGTATGTACGTTCTCTCATACACACATACAATCTCTTATTCTCTTTCACTCTGTTTCGTTCACTCAAGCAAACGCACATTCTCTCTATCTCTCTCTCTCTCTCTTTCTCTCCGCCAATATAGATAAACAGACTCGTTACTTTATCGGTACACACACACACATATACACATTAATATATTATTATTTTATATTGTACGCTAATTATAGTAAAAACTCCCTCCGATTCGTTATTATATATTCCCTAAAAGACTACTGCTTAGCGGATGTTTCCTCTCCTTTCTCATCGATTAAAAAAAAAGAAAGAACAACAACGTTTATCGGTGCGTGAGATGCGATCGACGTAAATTAAGATCGAACCCGATTTCGTTCGGCTGATTGCCAATTCAATCCGAACTTGCGATCAGCTGGTTATCGTTCGGAGCGACCACCGGTGAGAGATCTTTCTTCGGCACGTCATCGATTATCGCGTTGATTTCGACTTTCTCAGAAACGCCGTTTTGCACGATCTTTGCCTTTTCCGTGGCAGACTTCCCGACCGCCGAGGTCTTCGTAGTCTTCGACGTCGTCGTCGTAGACTTCTTGGTCTGCGACGTCGCCGTGGTCTTCGTCGTCGACGACGCGCGTCTCACCGTGGTGCTCGTAGCTGAACTAGTGCCGGACAAACGGGCCGTGGTCGTTTTGGAAGCGCCAGCGGAGGTTCTCGCCATAGAGATCTGTTTATTCGCGGTTTCTTTTACCTGTTTATCGATTATAGGAGACTTGGCTAACAACCGAGTCTTCGTCGCTGTTCCAGAAGTCGGTGCCGTCTTGGGCCTTGGTGTGGACGTAGTGGAGCTGATGGCCGTTGAACTGGACTTAGTGGTCACGCTCGTAGTTGTTTTCGTAATAGCCGAAGTGGGTCTCGGTTTCGCCATCGTAACCGTCGTCGTTGTTCCGGCGGTTCGCGTGGTCGTAGACATCTTCGAGGTAGTCGACGTTTTGGTAGCCAATGATTTAGTGACAGCAGGTTTGCTCGTAGCCGGTTTGCTCAAAGGTTTGACATCGCCGTTCGCAGTCGGTTTCTTGTCCGACGGTTTCGGAGACGCCACTAACTTTAGTTTAGGGGCGGTGCTAGTGCTCAATCTGGTCGTGCTCGGTTTCGCTGCGGCGGCCAATGTCGTGGTCTTCGACGATTTCGGAGTCAACGGTTTACTGGCCGTTGTGGTCGACACCGTGGACTTCTTCGGAGCATCCAGATCCTTGGGACGTGCCGCAGCAGTCGTGGACGGCTTCTTCGTCGCCGAAGTCGATGTTCGCGTAGCAGCGGCTGTGGTCTTCGAGGGAGACGTCGGATTTGATTTTGACGCAGCTGTTTTCGTAGTTGTGGTTTTTGTTGGTTTCGTCGAAGTCGTTTTCGGTTTCGCTTTGCTCTGCACTACGGCTGCTCCCGCCGCTGCGACTGCTGCGGTTGCTGCCACCGCTGCGGCTACTTCAGTCACTTTGTTTTCTTTAATTTCGGCCTTCTCTTTTGGTTCTTCGACTTCCGGTTCCTTAGCTTCTGGCTTAATTTCTGGTACGTTCACTTCCGGTTCCTTCGTTTCTAATTGTTCAACTTCTTTCGTTTCTGAAGGAAGACTCTCGACTTTTATCTCCTCTTGTATCTTGCATTGTTCCTCGACTACGAAGTTCACGAGTTTTTCTGGTTGCACGTCTTCTTTCACTTCTTCTTGCTTTACATCTTCAACAACGTTGGATGCAAGAATCTCGTCTTCTTTCGGTTGCAACTGTTTTTCTAAGCCTGTGAATTCTTGCATAGAGTCGGACAAGTTCATAGTAAGTTCTTTTATCGATTCCATCGTTTCGAACGGTTTCACGTGTTCCGTCGATTGCTCTGGCTCCTCCATCGCCTCTGCGATTTCCTTCTTACATTCGATCAAATTTGTTTCTTCAGGTGTCTCTGTCGATTCAAGCTTGTCTTCGTGCTCCCTATTGGCAGACGATTCGAAAGGGCAAATGACATCGTCGATGATGTTTCGTTTAATTTCTTGTGGCGATGCCGGCGGCGTCAGTTCTTCAAGGAATTGAGATGGCTTCGCGCAAGCGTTCTCTTCTTCGACAAAGTTCAACAAATTTTCTTGTACTGCTGGTTTCACGCACACCTCATCGATTTCCTTTTCGTCGCGCTCTAAGGTCGCAGCCAAATTTTCTTTAATCGGCTCGAATGCGCTTTCAACTGGTTCATCGGGTGAAATTTCACAGACGCCCGCAGCTTCCATGGGAGATAATAGACAAGCTTCGTTGCTTTCGAGTGTTTGGGAACCGTAGTGTCCAGGCACAAACTCTGGAGCATCTGCGTGCAACGCGAATAGATCGTCCGAGGCGTTCGTAGGGGCTACTACGTCGTCTTCCATCGGTGACGGAACTGGCGACAACGATGAAGGCGTATCGTTTGTGCAAGCTTCTTTCTGGAGATCGCTTTCAGGAAGAACGGCGTCTTCGCTGGCCTCGCCTATAGGTTTCGTCTCGTCTATATCGACGCTGGAAGGCGACAAAGGCTGCTCATTATCGATAGACACAGGCTCCTTTTCAGACTCGAATTCTCCGGAGTAATTCTCGGTCAATGGGGAGTGATCGTATCTCGCAATCTCCTGCTGCTCTTGGGAAGATTCTGATTGTAAGTTCAGTAAATCAACGGTCTTCTCTTCCGACGTTCCGTCCGCGGGCTCGATGAATGTCTCTTCGCTGTCCTCTTGATGCGAGGATAGGTTCACGAGGACCGCGGCTTCTTCAGGGACCTCAGATACTGTCTCCTTAATAACAACATCGCGCGTTGTTTCGGTGGAATCAGTTTGGAAATCTGCACATTTTCTAATGAGATCTTCGTCGTCTTTCTCCGTGCCGTTATTCTCGTCCAGATCGGTGTTGCTTAAATTGTGCACGGCATTCAGATCGACACCCTTGTCGAACGCCGCTTCGAAGTCGCTAGGCGTGAACGACATAGCCATCGGATCTTTGGCGATGTCGTAATCGCGTTCGGAGCTAGAGAACGATTCGTCCACTGTGACACCTGTTCTGTGGAATTCGCTGGCGGTTAAGAAGCTGGCCGTCGATTCATCTCCGAATTCGGCTTTCGTGGATGAAATTTCCGAATCGTCCAAATTACTTTGGGTGACTTTCTGTCGCTCGGACATGAAGTCCGCACAGTCGGCGGTACGTTGCAGATTGTCGCCGTTCTGATATTCCTTCTCGTCGCTTTCGACTTCCCTCGGTCTCTGGCACACCTCTTTCTCGAACTCGCTTTGACTGGGTACTTGAATATCGTCCATTTGCGGGACCTGTTTGAAAGGTGAACCGGAAACGGGGTAGTCCTCGATAAGACTCATTCTTGGCTCGGCGAATTGTGGCGAAACTGGAATAAATTCGGCAGCGTTCGGGTTTAATTGAAAATCCATGTCCTTCAGGTTTTCTTGCTCTTCTAAGCGAGCTCGCTCTTTGTCCTCCGGTACCGATGTTCTCTCCACGGTGCTAATCTGTATGGTGAAATTATTCTATTTTAAATTCTCAAATCAATCAACTTCAGATATCGTCTAATTCATCTTTTATGTTTCTCATTGAAAATTAATGAATTCCTAAAATCAGTTTAAAAATGATACACACCTCTGTGTTAATAAGCTCAAGCGGTTCCTCTTTCGAATCTTCGCATTTAATATCCTCCTGTACACCTTCAGACTGGATTTTCAACTCGTTGTTGTCTTCTTCGATCGGTCGGCCTGAAACTTCGTTCGCTTCCTCGTTTCTCGTCTCCAGGCTCTCGTTGACGGGCGTTGTCGCGTCCTTTTCTTTGTTAGGATAGTAATTCCACTCGTCCTCGGAATCCTCGCTGTCCGCTACATTATCCGCTTCATTAATCAGCGCATGCTGAAGAGGTTCTGCAAACAGTCAATAAGAAATATTTGTTAAACAAGAATACGTTTCTACAATAAGTCTTTTGTATGCACATTATCAATTGGTTTGAGTAATTAAAAAAAAAGGACCAACTTCTGCAGTTCTCGTATGAAAAAATTATTTGAGACTTTTTATTAAAATTTCTGTAAGGCATGTTTAAACAAAAATGATTGGAGTATCTTGGAATTTCGAACCTCGGAGGGGAACGGTCAACGTGATGTCTTACGTAACAGCCCATCCGATTACATGGACGAGGACATCTTTTGCATTTTCATTCTATGCACTCCATTGACGTAAAATTAAGAAGGCAATCATCTAGTTTTTGTAAAGAGTAATAGACATAGCTTACATTTAACAAGATCGGTGTATAGATTAGTTAATAGCATAATTAGCTCGCAGTCTCAAGGTGAAGAGGTGTAAGTGCAACGAAACACGTTTACGAGAAAAAGCTAGAAATTCTGTAAGTCTCATGATTCACACTCAATCGCGTTTATATCCGACTGCAGAATGGATGACCGATAGCCCGGCCCGGTTGCCGCAATACACCTCAAATGCGGCTGACCCGGTGCGTTGACATTTCTCAACGTCTCAGCCACCTTTCAACGCGTTTCTACCAATTTTGGCTCGCGATACTTTCGAACGACCGAACATGTATTTCACGTGAACTCGAACACGGAACGAACCATGCATTCACTTCAGAGTTAAACGATAATACGAGAGATAAAAAAATCGACACACGGCGTTTAAAAGGAAATAATTTCCAGTGAGAAGTAAACGAAACTGAGAAAAGAATTTTAGTGCATAAAGAGTAGATTGCATCTCTATTTAAAATCAGAGGAAGATCGAAATAAAAACGGTTTCACTTCGATTATATCACCCTTGTCCGTAGCACTCGAGTAACAGAATAAAATGAAATCGAATCAATCGACGCGAAGAAACGATTGATTCACCGAATTCGAATTATCATTTCACCTTGCTTGTCATACTTTCTACATCAGCAGAAATATGAATTACTTCGGGTACCGGCAATCGGATTAGTACTCACGAGATCCGGAAGGACGACGAGGAGGACATTCGGCCGCAGGAGCGATCGGCACCGACTAAGAGGAACTACGCCCGCCAAGAGATGCATTATCGATCTAGTCTAGAGCACCCGGAGCACCCCCTTCCTTTCGGCGGCTCTGCCACTACCCACCTGTGCTGTGCCAGACCAGACTAGACTGTACCGTATAGCAACAGTCGCACCTCATCTCCAACAGGAACTCGCCACCGCTCCTGCGATTGGTCCTGGCCCGCGCACACAAGGTGACTCAACCCCCTTGTACACCGTCGTCGGGGAGGAGGAGTTCCGGTTTTAAAGACGAGCAACCGGTGTTCCATCAATTTCAACCCCGTGAACCCCGGTTCGAGGAATCGTATCGCGCGTTGAGGTATTTGCGGGAGACACGTTATGACGACTCTCATTTTTTTATTTCACCTACTTGCCACGTACATATGCACATGGACTATATGACCTAGAATCCCGGTCGCGGCTTCGATCGCACGCTATGATAGTTAATTCATAAATGCAAACCATACTAAATTTCATTATTCAATTATCTCTTTTAAGTATTTTATTTTGTATAAAAATTCGCAGTTTAGTAATGACAAAAATTGAAAACTTGATAGAGAATTACAAACGATTTTAAGGTTCATTACTTTGAAACCGAATAAAAAAGGATATATGCTTAGGTACTGTTGAATAATTCCTTTATTATGTACGTGCTTGAATAAAATGACTTTCTCATTATCCGAATGCAAATATCCCTCTCTATGCGTCGCTTCCACCGCATGCTTCGACTGATTGACTCACCCTTCCTCCTTCTCGAGATGGTTCTCCGTGTTGCCGGAAGAGATTTCGAACCCTCCGTTCCACCCCAGTTTGAATACGAATCGGTTTGAAAGACATGATGACCAGACGGATGTTGTGCATTCATCGTAATTGCAAATATCTCAATAAAGATATGAGAGAATGAAGAAAGACCTCGAAATACGAGTTACAGAATAAATTATCTGATATACATAAATAATTATAGTAACTCTGATTACACGACTGACATAAAAAAAGGAACAGATTCGTTCTAAAATGAACATTCCAACATCCTTCTTTAAATGGCCAATCACAAGGTACGTCTTAATTAACTACTTATAATTAATAACTTAAACAACTTAGCTACTAATGGTGTTCAATGAAATGTTTAACTATAAATAAGTCTATAGTCGCTCTGATCGATTATAAGAGCTTTGAGATAACAAAAAATTACTTTGGATGAATCACGTGTGATATATGGCTAAATAAAAAAACATCTTTTGCTCTCACAGCGATAATAGAACATGCCATGTTGTTTACGAATAATGTTCAGAATGCAATGCAATGAAATCGTTAATGATGGAATGAAAAACGGAATGAAACAGATGTCTGATATTTGATAGAATTTAGGGACATCAAAGGAATCGTTGGGAATTATAGAATAAAGAAACGCAGAGTTCTAATCAGTTTCACAAGGAAAACTCTGTTGTTTTGTCATTCCTTTTTATTGAAAAATATTCAATCAATAGTGTATTTATTCCGAACACAATTTTTACCATGAACTACAAATAATACGTATTTAATATAACTAGCTGTCCTATTATGAAACAATAAATACGTTTTTAATAGAAGTCCGTAACAGTTCGCGTTACGGCTGTAATGGCAAAATATGTTTTGTTTATTCAGCGCATCATCCATGGTTTCTATAAGATCAAGGTAGCATTAAAGGTACACGCTGTACAAGTCTACTGACGACGAAGCGTTTTCAGATTTCCTTTCGAATATAAAATCTATGCAAAAGGATAAAAACGCTGACTAAAGGGTGTTACATGTTAAATATGGAACATTCGATATCCGAAGTACCTCCTTCTATTTTAAAGGTAATGAATTTAAACTTCATTACAATGAAAAAGAAAATTAATGCTAAGGATATCAACACTACAAACGTTAAGAAATCACTGTTATTGTTAAGAGTAACAATAAACCACACGCATTGCTATAAATATTAATTTGCGACTACAATAAGCATATTTCGGTTAACTTAATGATATATATGACTATGTAGCGTTTATAAAAATGTGTTAACTACGTTAGCTATTGCTCGATGCTAAATAAGAAAATACATATAATATACATAGATTACAGATGTATGTACAGTATTACATAGTAATCCATGAATTTGTAGAAAAAGTGGTTTATGCAATCTACACATTACAAAATTCAGGACCTTTCTACTTCCCTCGTATTTACACTATATCGCAAAATGGAAGCAAGTTTTCTTAATATCTGGGATATATGACTTTCGCGTTCAGTTTCTAATCTCGTACAACGGGACTTACAGCGTAATTAAAGTAAAATAGATGTACCATTCGTGGCTACTTCAATAGTTTCCATACCACTTAGTAAAAAAAATGGGTACCAAGAAGTGAAGAGTAGATCACTGAAATCTTGAATATGTTCGAACAAGAATAATAGAAAATATTATAGTATTATTGCAGAAGACCCTTTTGTACCATTTCAGGCGAGAAAAGTTAAAACAAAATGTAGGAAGAAATATAATCATTTTAATAAACACCAGAGTACTTAATATATCGGAATAAATAAGGTACCGACCACAGATGGTACATTTACCCTGATTTCTCGAGAAGACTGGGTAAGAGATTACGAGGGAAACAATTTCGTTTCATGTAAGACGAAGTCTTAGTAGTTGCAGCGATTTCACGTGATCGAAGGTTCTAGAAGCCAGAAAGTGTGGATAGAAACAGGCTTAAGGGATGCCAAAAAAAAAAAAGGGAACCCACGCGGAGAACGTTATCTTAACCCGTTCCTAATTCCAACCTTCCTTTACCACCAACGCGAATCCATTCCAACGATCTCTCGCCGCGTGCACATAACTTGTAAAGAGATCCGTTCTCGCCAAGAGCTTTCCTCTCGAGACGAGAACACTATTTTAACCGAACACTCTTTTTTCCTTCACCCCCGTTACGCTCCTCTCCTGGATTATAGCTCCCAGCTAGCCACACGCTTACATCTCGATTTACTATTGCATTTTAAGTATTATCAGAATTAAGTACAACAAACGAACTGCGTTCAAATACAGACAAAAGTATTTCTGCAGTTAAAAGATCAAGAGATATTTTAAATTTATTGCGATAAGACAGAAATTCTATTTTATTTACTATAAGACTGAGGCATGGATATGAAACGTTCCGGATAAAATAGAAACGAAAGGAGAATAGTAAAGGGAAAATAAGAACGTAACACTAAAGAGGCTTCTCTCGTTCTTAAGATAGAAAATTGTATAAAAACGATCTATGCGTTTGCCAATGCTTGGCAATCTCTTCTAATTCTATCCCTGCATTACATTTGTACTGGTTTAGAAGACAAAAGATACACGGCATGAATCGCATAATGAACGACCAAATTTAAGTGTACATTTTTATCGCTGCGGATTTGATGCATTTATAACGAAACACTGGACGCGTAAAAAATATGCAACAGGCTGAAGGAAATATCAGTCTAGATTTCATATTTTAAATCAGCGTCCCAAAGACATACCTGTAGTCTACTTATCAACACTCGACTTGGATTTCTACAAACATCTTCACCCTTTTTCCAAGAACATACTGTACATTTACAGGGGAATGAGAGAAGTCTTCACGGTTCATTGGAAACGGGGTGAAAAATAGAAGAAAAGATCCAAAGGAAAAAAGAGCATGCCAGAAGATTTCGCCCCGAAAGAGGATCCACTGTTTTTTTACTTCTTTCCCCCCCTTCGTTTTTTTTTATCATTTCGCCCGTACGAAGCGCAGCGTATATCGGTTCAGAATGGTGCATATAGAGAGCTTGAGAGCTAATTTTAAACCGGCGACATCGCACCGCATCGGGGAGGACAGAGACAGGAAGAGCAAAAAG